TATCGCCAGGCCGGTGTCGCAGCGCTGACAGCATGGCGACGTGCTCCAATATTGCGCATATCGCACGAGGTATTGAGAGATATGAGAGATATCGAGGTTCAAAAGTCGATGAGAACTCGAACTCGTTGGAAAACAAAATCTATTGTCGCGTTTCAAATTGCACATCAATAATCGTTTCGCTTAATCGTTATTATTATTATTTGTTTTAGGTATTCGGGCTAGGTAATAAAACTTATGAACACTATAATGAGATTGGAATATATGTGGATCACAGATTGGAGCAACTAGGTGCTACGCGCGTTTGCGAATTGGGTCTTGGAGACGATGACGCAAAGTAGGTTCTCGGAAATGTATTTCTTTTTTTCACATCCGTTCTTTATTTTTACAATTTAAATAAAGTACAAACAAAAAATTCAAAATAACAGTTAAAATAAAAAAATTAATATTTTTTAATTATAACATTAATTATTGTTGTAAGACAAATATATTTTACTTATTTTATCATCCATTCTTTTAATTTTAATAATTTTTTAGAATTTCTTTTTCTTAATAATTAATTTTAATGTTACAGCATAGAAGATGACTTTATTACGTGGAAAGATAAATTTTGGCCGGCTGTCTGTGAGTTCTTTGGTATCGAAGGCACTGGTGAGGATGTCAGTATTCGACAATACAAACTTACAGAACATGTAGATCTACCAGCCGATCGCATCTACACCGGAGAGCTCGCTCGTCTTCATTCCTTTGCAAATCAGAGACCGTAAGTTCTTATTTACTATAGAATTGTGTCAAATAATCTCGGTTTCCATATTTAGATTTTTTTATCTATAGGCCGTATGATGCGAAAAATCCTTTCTTGGCTCCTGTGAAAGTGAACCGCGAATTACATGGTCCAACATCCGACAGATCATGCATGCATATAGAATTCAACATCGAAGGCTCCAAAATGCGTTACGAGACAGGTGATCATTTGGCCGTTTATCCCGTGAACAACGCAGAGCTGGTGAACAAAATTGGTGAACAATGCGGCGCGAATTTGGATACTGTTTTCACCCTTACAAATACAGACGGTATTGCTTTCTCTCTTCTTATTTTTACTTTCCCCAATTTTTATGTGAGAATGATTTATGCGTTTGCACTATTTAAAATAACTATTCTTCTACTATTCGCTTTACAGAGGAATCCTCAAAGAAGCATCCATTCCCTTGTCCTTGCAGTTATAGGACTGCTTTAACACATTACTTAGATATTACAAGTAATCCACGCACGCACATTCTCAAAGAGTTAGCGGAATATGCGACCGATTCCGCAGACAAGGAAAAGCTAAAATTGATGGCATCGACTACCGCAGAGGGCAAAACTGCTTATCAGCAATGGATAATTCAAGAGAATCGCAATATTGTGCATATTTTAGAGGATATTGCCAGTTTGAAGCCACCTCTAGATCATTTGTGCGAGATTTTGCCACGATTACAATGTCGATACTACTCAATATCTTCGTCTCCGAAGGTATCTCTTTTAATTGATTGTAAGAATAATTTAAGAAGAGGAGAAAGAGTTTTTCTTTTAAAAAATATGACTTGTATAAAAATCATTCTTTCCATTTCAGCTTCATCCAACTTCGATTCATATTACGGCAGTAGTGGTTGAGTACAAAACTCCAACTGGCAGAATAAACAAGGGTGTAACAACCAGTTGGTTGAAGGAGAAACATCCCTCCGATTCACCTTGTCTCGTCCCAATTTTTGTAAGGAAATCTCAGTTCCGCTTACCAACGCGCTTGAATATCCCCATCATCATGGTTGGTCCAGGAACCGGTTTAGCACCATTCAGAGGCTTTATACAGGAGCGAGATTTTGCTAGGAAAGAAGGTAGCGTGCTTTCGCTTTCGATATCTCATAACATATTCTCCCCATCGGTAGAGTGTATCAATATTTAAATCTTAATTCCAGGTAAAGAGACGGGCGACACAATATTGTATTTTGGATGCAGAAAAAGCCAAGAGGATTATCTTTATCGTGAAGAATTAGAGCAGTATGTGAAGGATGGCACTTTAACGTTGCACACTGCGTTCAGCCGGGAACAATCGCACAAAGTTTACGTCACACATTTACTCGAGAAGAATAAGGAGGAAATATGGCGTGTCATCGGCGAACAAAATGGACATATTTATGTTTGCGGGTTAGTTTAAAGAATCTATTATTATATATAAAAATTATATATAAAAAAAATTTATATTAAAATTTTTACATGTAAATTATATATGTTCTTAGGGATGCAAGAAACATGGCTCGCGACGTGCACAATATATTGCTCAAAGTGGTGATGGAACGTGGCAATATGTCAGAACTTGATGCTGCAAATTATATCAAGAAGTTAGAGTCACAAAAGCGATACTCTAGTGATGTTTGGAGTTGAGCCATATTAATTGTATCATAGAGAAATATACAGAAGAATTTTTTAAAATGCGAGGACCAGAGCTTGATGCTTGATTCATTAAAGCGACGGAATGGTGGTATAATGTTTCAGTCAAATCGTTTCTCATTTTCTCTATCTTCATTTAATGATTTTCATCCGATGAGTTTTGTTCCGTCATCATATCCTGCCGAATAGAATAATTATAGTTAAATTACATTCGATAGCCAGAGCCATCATTATGTACAGAGGCCTTTTTAAAAATTTATGCGAAGTATTTAAATATGACTTATTTCCGTATTTATGTTTTTGACAACAAAATAGATCGTTTTAAATTAAATGTTTAAATGTATTAGCTACATATTTATGTAAATTTGGTTTTCAAAAGAACTAGCTTTATTTAAATTTTTTTGAAAGAAATGTAAAGAGACTCGATAACATGTAGGATTTTTGTACATATTTTTTGCACTGTTTACAATTTAAATAAATATATACATGACAAATTATTTCATATTTAATAAAAGTATTCGTTAACTCGTTAACATGGTCAGGAATTGTCGTCTTTCCTATTTCATAGTCTTGAAATGTGTTTATCGAGTTTCTATGCATATTTGTATTATTCATATGTAGCATCTCATCAAGAATGTTAATCAATCATCCATCTACAAAATCATAAAATTATTTTATGACTAATTTTATTACAATTGTATAATAATCATTGTTTGTAATATCTGTACAATTACTTAAATGAACTTTGATAATTTTTATATATAATATTACATATATAAACAACAAGACGAGATAGATTAGCTCGTCTCTGTTGATATTTTAATATTTTTTAACATTTTTTAACGTATTGTCTAATAAAACATTGTCAGGTCTGGTCACCGTGATAAAAACTATTAATCAATACGCAAATTGTACAAACAGTTTAATTGAATTTCTGTTTTTCATTATCCGCGATCGTTCGATCGCAATGCGCCAATCTAGTTAAATGTTACGTCTCACATCGAATATAAAGCGAATATAATGTAATGAATATAATTTCTTTTTATAAGATCAATATGTACGTATAGACTATGTGAATAATTGTTATTATGAAAGAGGACTTTGTTAAGTTTGCTCTTGATACTAATTACATTTCCTAGAAGTGCAATCGGATATCAATTGGTGATATTAGTCAGTATATAAATAGTGAAATCTTTTATATTTAAAGCAAATTTATTCCAGTATTCGAAATGACATTTTTTAACTTAAGTTGGTGCGTGTGAACCAAAGCGATCTTTAGTGAAACTTAAGGCTAAGAAGACCTGTTACTAGTGAATATCAATTCGAATTCAATCCATCGTAATTACTGCAGCATATAATATATACAAATCAAAATAGTTATCGCATGCGCACTGGTTTCAATCAACATACATTAAAATTATTAACTTAGACTTCCTCTGTCTTTATTTAAGAGTCAAAATGAATTATTATTGAGTTAATTATAAGAGAATCGATATTGATGCAACAATGTAACCGTTATTAATAATGAAATTAAATAATACAACTGATATTATAGCAATTATGAATGAGATGATTACTGTTTATTTACGTAGTGTTTTTAATCATTTTTAATCCGAGAATATAAAGGTATGCATATAGCAACTGAACGGTAATTAATTCTTAATTTAGGACTATTTTAAGTAATATGTCTGAAGATGCTATGACTGTGATAGGTTTATATCTTCAAACTATACTTAAGATAGTCTTAAATATGAGAAATTTGAATACCAATCTGTTGGCGACTGTACAATGAATTATAACTAATTTTTACACGATGCATACAGGGATGGTAAATAAAAATCATGTTGATCAACATATGTAAAACAATCAGGAGATCAAGTGTGTGTTTTGAAACGAGATGAAAATAACAAAACTGAGTAAATTCATTAGATGTTGACCAATGAAATTATAAATATTCGAGTAAATTGTTCACTTTTTTTTCTTCACTTTTTTTGTTCACTAATTTTTATCTCTTTTTTAAGATGTACAATCGATTCCTAGATTATATCATTTGCAGTATAATTTTATTTGCATATCGAGAAATAATATTGTTATATTAATTTTTCACGAATATATCTGCACAAAATGATTTTATAATTTCTTTTTCGTAAACACAGAAAATATATTTCAGTTGAAAAATAATTGACTAAATTAAAGAATGAGAGGGAAGGGGAATCGATTGTGAATCTATGGTGGATATCGTGGATACACAATATGTGTATATATGTGTAGCTTGAAACAAGATGAAAATTACAAAAGTGAGCAAATTCACTTAAATATTTGTAATTTTATTGGTCAATACGTAGTATATTTGTTAACTTTTGTAATTTTTATTTCGTTTTAAGATACACGTCTTCCTGTAAATTACAGAAACAATTTACCGGCAAAAATAAATTATCCTTTTCCTTACATGTTAGTGGAGATTTGTATCATCGACGTGGGTTCGTGTCTCAGCTGAATAAGGATTTTCTGTAGACCTTCACAACTCTCAGTATGATAGCATATCATGTGATATCATGCGCAGAAAGGTGGAGCGAACCTCGTCGTGGGTTATATCATGGTCAATATTTCAGATTTCAATCACGATTCGAGCATGGGATCGATAGTAGGATTAGTAGGCTCGCGTGAGGTGTAAAACAGAAATTATGAATGGTAAAAATAGGCGTGGCGGCAACGCGACCGCTCCGCTGAAAGCCCTGAAAAGTCTCAGTCGAGGACGTTACGAACGTCAGAAATCGGAAGAGAGTCAGTAAGTATTTCTCCTCTCCCTCTCTCACATCGAAAACACACGGGTTGCAGTATCTTCGCGACGGGAAACTCGTCGCCGTTTGATTCTTGTTGATGGCGAAGACCCTCGGGGAAAGCGAAGAATGAAATGCGAAGAAACAATATCAGCAGAAGCACGTAAGTTTGTTTATTTATTTTACACAATTTCAAGAAATTATCCCATGATTATTGAGTAATTGTTAATTATTGAAATTGTTGGGAATTATTATAGGATCAGTCCGCTGACGCAGAAGATAAAGGCTCCTCAACATCTGCTGCGACTCAAGGACGAGGATGGCTACGGCGATGAATGGAACGATCATTTCCGACTACCTAGTTTGCCATGGCAGAAAGCGTTAAAAGACAATGACACCCCGTCCAATAGCAACAGTGCGGCAACATCTGTTTCATGGTCGCAGGAGGTGGAGAGCATGGCAACTCAGAAATTGGAGGAGCAATGGACCGCCGTGGAGAAGATCTTCTATGAGGAGGATACTCAGATGCTTAAAGATTCTATTTTGGACGAGTGCACGCAGTGGAAAACACAGATACCATATCTGAGAATAGTTGGCAAGAACCCGACTTATGACAGTACACAACGTGACATTGGCTCCAGCAGTAAGAAGACAAAGAGACTTGATAATCCACAAAACGATGAAATATTTATAGAACGCAATCTTTCAATGAAGGTAAAGAAAGAATTTCTTTCGTATGTCGTAATTTACATGTAATCTACATATATATATATTATACTATTCTTTATATACTTATGTATAAAAAATACTTATATTATTTATATTATTTATAGGAAGGAGAGGATTCTGTACAATATAAATTGAATAAGGCAAAATTTGAAGATGTTCTCGACATGATGATGGAATATGTAATCTCGGAGCTTTTTCCTAACGAAAAGGATGAAACAGATTCTTTGCACGACAATTTGACTGATGCTCTAAGAATAGCTCCCGCTCCTGTTCACAGTAATAGAAAGATAGATTCGTCAAGAAATTCAAAAGCAAATTGGACAGAGGAAGCAATCTCGCCTAATTATATCGAGAACAAATCTATAAGTATAAGAAATCGATTGCTGGCTACAGAAAATTCCCTTCAGACAATAAAGAACGATGCAAATCTTCAAGGAATCCAGAAGTAAAATTAAAAGAAAGTAAAATAATAATTGGCACGCTTGTTGTTATTTAATATGCATTTGATTTCTAGGAAATCAAGGAAGTCAATTTCTGCAAATAAACTAAGAGACTTTGGTGATACGGAAGATGACGCTTTGAAGTCCAAAGAGCGATTATGCACGCCACATATAGGCAGAAATAAGCTTGGCACTATTTTTAATGAGAGGATTGTTGTAAGCCCTGTGCCCTTTACAGTGTCTACTCGAGAAAGCTTCTCTACTGTAAAGACTATCCCGATTAAATTTATGAATGAGGATTTGGAAATTTCTTCTGCTCAAGGTAACTAATATTGAGTTATTTCAGTATCAATTGATTAATTGATATTAACACAAAAATCGTTAATATTTTAGGATTAGCTCGAAACGTTGGCTTCCAAAATTTTGCGAAAAAGTCGGGTGCCTTCTTGAGAAATCCAAATATTCATTCCGCCTGGCAAGCTTCTGTCTCTCCTACTGTTTGGCCAAAAAATATCCGACTCGCTCCCATAGATACTTCGAGACTTTCTAACAGCAAAAATAGGTGCATTAGTCGCAGTTTAAACATTTCTTTGATCTTTAAATAGTCGGGAAATTTAAGAGCGAAGAATAATTCAAATTATAAATTTCAGATCATTGGCACCGTCGCCTGCTGTCCAGCACTACAGCAGAAAATCATTGAACCCGATTTCTCGTCCCATGATACCAAAATCCGCCCATATAACTCGCGATTGTAGCATCAATTTTTTGGAGATTCAAGGAAAGCATATTGTTCCCAGCTGGGACAGTCCTAAAGTGGCCAAGAACAAGAAGAAAACTCGAACAAAGGAAAGACTTTGAAAAGAAGCTTAGCTGATGAAGTCAGAAGCGCTTTGAATATTTGCATGCAAGAAATATATTTTTCAAAAATGTCAGACACGTGTATCCTGTATGTAATTGCAAAGAAGCATAGGAGTACAAAATGCTTTAACGCGTTCGGTTTTGCAAGCAGGATAATGCCTGAGCACGGTGAAATGCTTTAAGTATATATATATATATATACTTCAACATATATATATATTTACTGCGCGCGTCAGTAGGTCTGTTCGCGTTGCTTGCACTTTTTATAAGAATCTTTTTCCCCTTTCTCTCTTTTCAACGCCCGAATTATATATTTATCTCGTCTTAAGTGCAAAAATTTTGGGAAATTTTAAGCAACGCGAACAAACTTAATGTAAAGTATTTATGAAAGATGATCGTCGCACGCATATGCGCGACGGCATTTTATTTTAAATACATATCGTTATTTTGTAGGTAATACTGTTTCTACCTCACCAAGTATCCGTATTGTTCAAGTATTCTACACGCTTATCGCGAGTGGATATATTTTTGTATACCGCACAATTATAAAAATTCATTGTATGAATAAATATATATAATAACTTTATTGTTAGACAAATATTATATCGCCTTACTTATCCCGTGTTGTGTATTCTAATCCTAAAATTTGGTTCTATCTAAAGAAATCCAATAATTAAAAATGAAATATAATAGTGTTCCATATATATGTTATGTCGTAAATATAAAATAAGGTCGTTATTTTTTGCTTGTTATGTTATGTGACATTAAGATTAAAAATATGCAAGAGAGTATATGTGTGTATATAGAGACAATAAAATAGCAAAGGTTACACCTAGTAAATGCGCGAATCTTTATAAAATTATAATCCCACATGTTCTTGTAATAACGCCTCGAGGGACACGTGGTACGGAGCCCTAGGAAATTCGAACAGAAGCGGTATTTGCGCAAGTTCGGCGCTTTTCCCTCTTCGACGGTCGCGAAGCGTTTAGTTTCGCGTGAGCTTGCAACAGTGAAGGATGCTTTAACGACTGGTGAAAAGTTTCGGTAGAAATGTCGAGAGAAAATTCAAAATAACGCAATACCATCGGATCGCGCTGTGACGAAGAAAAAAATAAAACAAAGAAAGTTTTACAGAGAGTTTGATGCAGGTTTTTTGATCCGAGAAACAACTGCTGCAGAATTTATTTGCAAGCGAGTTCATATCATAGAATTGAGAAAAAGTAACCATTCACTGATTAGATAAATTTTTAAACAAAATGTTCTTTATAAGATAATGTACTTTCAATGTAGGAAGTAAATATCACATGTTTTTTGGGGATAATATCACTTGATTATTCTTTAAATTCTTTGGAATGGAATCTCATTCTAAAAGGTGAAATTTGAATCAGTCTTGAGACTCTAAAGAGTGGATTAATTTTTAATCTTTAAGAGTGAGATTTCACTCTTTAGAAAGAGATTTACTTTAAAAGTTACAGACAGCAACGTTTAATAAGCTCTTGAAGAAATAACTACTCAAATTATGAAAACATTTTTAGAAAAATATCTTTCAAGTAATTACGAGTGATATAATCCTGCAGGATTTTTGTTAAAAGGCATATAAACGTGCGGATCTATTGGACGTCCCATGATAACGCAGACAAAGGACCTCGTGAAGGATCCCATTGGCGATATGTCTACTTACGAAAGGCCGAGCGATGTGCATCATTTGTCGATGATGACAAGGATTATAGGGGTGTGCACCGCTATTGGTGAGTCCCAATAATTTATGTTTTGCATTTAATAATCGCTCATTACATTCCCCCTCTCCCTTCCGATCCTACATTATGTATTATTATTGATGTTATTTTTCCGTCGACGAAAATGAATCTTCCATCGAAGGATGTAGAAGCTGTAGAAGATTAAAATTCAAAAATTATTGATTTATTATTAATACTAAGATTTATTAATTAATTTAGAAATATATAACAATTAGAGGCTGCGAGTTAGTAGCACGATATCACAAATTATATATAAACCAATACATAAATCGTTTCAACAATATTGCAGCAATGTTGCCGCAATCTTCTGTTTTGTATGAGTAAAGAAAGAACTTTTGCTTGGTTTGAATAAAAATTTCATCTCGAGAGAAAAAGATAACTGCAATGGCGACGTAAAAATGAAAATGTTCCTCTCTATTGCTTCGAACGAGAATGGGGATCATGGGGATGCACGGACACTGCTTTTCATTACTGCTTAGAGATGGTAGAAAGGCTCTGTACCTATCGGCGAAGCTATTTACACCTGCTTAATATTAATAGATCGTTAAAGTACAGCCGAAGATAGTAGCTTGGAACTCCAAGTTCTTTCGAGGTCCATCCGGTGAAAGGGATCTCGTGCTTAAATAGTAGCACATTATCGGACTTCGGCGAAAATTCCATGGCGCGTTCCTTATTTCTCAGACAATTTGAATTCTTACGAGAGAAGAATTCAAGTTATTTGAAAACCAGCGAAACAATGATAACAAAATGATAAAGCAACATAACAAATAACATAACAAAAAATTACATAATTTTACTTTTAGATAAAAATATTGAGGTAAAGGTAGAATAGATGAAAATGTGGACCTTCATTTTATTATTTTCTGTGTAATTTTTTTAAATTATATTCGAATCAATGATATAAACATATATTGTAAATAATAATTAATTTAAGTTTAATGTAAAATATATTTGAAATAATTAAAACAACAGTGGGAAAAATTATTTAAATGAAAGGACTATGTTGTGTCTATGTTTGAATGTGATGGTAAAGTAGATCCTATTGGGTTGTCCGGAAAGTTCATGCCGCAAAAGATTTAAATTTAATAAATGTATACTAAAATTTAAATCTTCTGCGTTTCAATTTTCCTTCAAAATCGGCACAGACAACCCAATATATATTTTTACAGAATCTGCTTTCTTCAGGTTTATTTGAATTTTCCACAAAATTCTTTTTATGAACACATTTTCTTAGCGATACTCTTGCGTTGAGTCTGTCCTCATGAATGTTTATCATGAGTAGGACGAGCACCTCTTTTCCGCTTATTACTGATACCTTCAGAGATTTCTTAAAATTATTTTAAGGTACTGCAAAGATTTTTAACAAAATGTATCAAAGTTTCTTTGTATTTTCAATGTCAAGTTTAATGTGATTCAAAATGTAATTAAAAAGTTTATATCTTAAATTAATTCTTAAGATGTTACTCTCCTTAACTATATTTTTGCTAGCATATAATTAAATGTCAACAATTTTATATTAGGCCGTCTATCGAATGAATTATATAATTCGAGCTCTGAACAATTTTAACAATTTTTCGTTAAAAATCCCGGACTTCGCAATATTTATTTATTGTCCATTTCTACTAATGTAGATTAATTTACTCTTTATCCATTTCTAATTCTTAAGAACTAGAAAAGGATAAAAAGTAAACCAAGATTAAAGTTAATTTATATTGATAGATTAATTATGAAACGGATATAAGAACAAGTAAAAACCTTTTCACAAGAAGTATTAATTATAACAGAATTTTAAATGGAGTTCACATTACTATACAGCAGGAACTCTTTTGCTCTGTATTTATATATACGAAGTAAAATAGCAATTAAACTTAACAATAGTCCTGTTTAACAATGTCTAGAAATAATCGACGACGAAAGTAAGTTTAATGAACTTCGAACGCTTAAAAAACACTCAGATTCGACTGCCAATAACACCTTATTCCTTTCGTTTTCCGACTATTTTGTTCCCGTCGCGACAATGACGAAAAATACTCTCGTCGGATCCGATGGTCCATTATCTCCGAATGAATGTGGAGGTTTTTGGATGGCGACGTGTTACCGAAACACTCCATGTTGTGACGTTGCTGACTCATCATCCATCGCGAGCCATCGGAAACGACACGGGGATTAATTGCCTGCGACAATCACACTTTGGTCGGGTCTCTTAATTGATAACACTTAATGTATCCACCTCTCCGGGAGGGCAATTAGCGCGCGCGTTTGATCGATCCAACGAATGAATGGCGAGTCGCTTTCAAGAGCATTTAGAATCCAGGCCTCGAATCTGACCATTAACGTTTAATTACGTGCGCTTCCTGGTGCTAAACGATCGTGGACGATTGTGAATCGCTCGCCGAAATCATCAAACGTGTATGGCATCCCGAGAAACACATAAAAATGAATAAAAATCAAAATAATTTTATTTTTATTCTTAATACCAATAAACAGTCAAATTTAATAATCAAAAAAATCATTATTTTAATTCTCATGACGTCAAAATAAAGTTGATTTGATCTTCTCCTGACTTGGTGTGTTCCTTTGCTCACGATTCTTTTTTCGGATTTGATTGATTTTTGAATGTTATAATCTCTTTATGATCACGTTTGCTGCATGCATATCGTGTATTATACAGCACAGCACAGCCACACATATACATTTTTCTCTCTCATTTTAACGTGATTTATCGTGCTGTCCATTCGGCACCTCGTTGAAGGGCTCACTCGGTTTTAATTGGTTCACCACGAGTGTAAAGCAAAATATTTTACGCTCACGGGTGGTGTAAATGGACCACGAGAATATTTGCGGGGAAATTGCTCGCGATTTAACGAAATGGTTTTCCCCGGAAGAACATTCATCGCTTCGCGAATCGCATGTTTTTTATATTTTACATATTGCGTATAATAATGTTGCGTGCGATGGCTTGTTTCGTGATAATTTTATCGCGCGTCTGTTTCAAAATTCGTTGACAACATTCGTAGTGCCAGCAGGCTTGCACTTGAATACACACTTGTATAAATTTATACACAATAGCTCGGTATTTATTCGAGGATATTTCTTTATCTGTTATTACAGTTGCAAACCGCACGCGCGAAGATCAAACCTCCTTGTTTGTTTCGCGCTATTTTATCTTTTTCAAAGATGGTATTTTTGATAAAGGCGCGTAAGAAATGTGAAGAACAATGTGATGACAATTGCAGCGTGCATTTCGCGACCGCGAGCGACATGAAATCGAGCTGACAGCTTGGTTACAAACCGGCCGTTATTTATACCGTTGGTTACACCGAGGCACCCGCATTCGCGATATCCGACTTTTTCGCTTAATCCGGAAAAGACCGCAACAGAGAAGGAGACAGAGCGAGATACAAAAGAAAGATAAATAAAGAATTTCGCTGCTGATAACGACACGTTCGCGTGAATTTTTTACGAGATTATTATTTTTCTTTTCTTTATCGCGCCGCTACCGTTACATAGCAAGGGAGAAACCCCTCGGTAAAGGAATCCATGATTGAAAAGGACGTGGGGATGAGATAGAATTCTACGTGCTTCCGTCTCTCTTCTTGAGTATACTTTTATATAATATTCCCGTGGATAAAATCTTCTCAGATTACGTTAGCGGATAAGCTCGCGACTCCGGTTGGAATTTGCAAAATTTTCGCCGATCGAATGGCGATCGTTGCAACGCGAGCGTCGCGAGGATATAAATATAACTAGGCTATTTACGTGCGGTTGAATATCGGCAT